GGCAAATAAATTGAGAAAAATGCATTTTTTTAAATGAGATTTTCGCGAATTCGCGGTTACAATGCTACAAATAACAATGTCAGCTTTTCCTTCTTTTTATTTCTTATAAAATATATTTAATAAATTTATATTTAATAAAATATATTAAAATGTATATATTTAATTAAACATATTTATATATAAATAGTAAAAAATGTATATATTTAAACTTTAATAGACCCATAGAAAGACTTTGCATAATTTAAAAAAAAAACATTATACTCTCATAGAATTGATCTTTACATAAATAGAAAAATAAATTTCTTTTATCATAACTGAGCGCATGACTGGAAACAAATTTTCCGAAGTCGATCGCATTTGACATCTAAGTATCGTCCGATATCTAGATTCATAAGATTCAATTCGATACGCCTAATTTAACAGTACATTTACCGTGCGAGCTCTGCTCGCGGGACGTTCCTTACAACTCCTATTTGTCGGCCTGATGCATTACCCGATTACTTTTCTCTATTCGCGTCGATAGAAAAGCACTTTGGGTGTAAGAATTTACGACAAAGGAGTTAAAGCGGAGGATGAAAACACATCGGCCGCGATCTCCCGCCAAATTGATGACGTTCGCGAATTAGAGTACGCGATTCGATATCGATGAGATAAAATAATTTGCTAAATTCTTTAAGGATACCCATATATCTCTGGTCGACAGTTCTCTACGTCGACACGTGTCGGTTCCACGACGAAGGTCGAGTTACCCCTTTTTGTGGTCAATCACTCTGTGTAATCACTGCGGAACCCTTTCGACGGAGCAATCGGATCGCCCGGCTGGAATTCATTGCGGCTGTCTCGAAGAATGTGAGTCCTCGAAGCGATCGGTCGAAGGGTGAAATCACCCAGCTTGGCGTCGAGTCGGGAGAGAATGTGTCTGGCGACTAAAAATACAATGCTCAATGTGGTCAGATACGAAAGTGGCTTCCTCTAAATGCTAACAGGCTCCGGGTTCCACGAAGTATACGTGTATCTCGTAAAATGACGTTTTAATGTCGAACGGTTCAATGTTATTTCTAAAAATGGCTCGATACTCTTTACATATTTTGCTATTTTAACTCGACGTTATCTCGGGATTTCTGTCTCGAAAATATTTTAGCTAACTTTCAGACCATTTATATAAATATAAATTCAATATTTTTTACTTATGTAAATAATATTTTATTATCTTGTTTATTTGTGCTGTTTTCTAAGTGGTCTATACTTTTTAATTGAATGATTTTTTTTATATTTGATCTCCCAGTAAAAATTGCGCGAGAAACATATAACAAATTACTTTCTTTTGGAATTGGAGCGGAACGTAATGATCTTTCGGAATATAATGATTTTTCGTGAAGAGATATACCTATTCGAGAGATAGGAACGATTCCTCAAATAGAAAGGGGAAAAATATATGATGGAACATCTAGCGATCGCCGCGAGGGCTCTTCAGGTTTGAGGAGAACCAGACTGAAGAGGGACAATTAGTCGAACGATATCGACAACGAGAAAGAGGGAAGGTACGCGACGATAGGGAAAGATCTAATTAGATTTCTGGTGCCGCGTACACGTGTATGTCAAAGGTCATTTTATCGCGGGATGGTTGGAGCGTGTCGAGATGGTTTCATCGTGCCGAAATTCGTTTGCTCACCTCCAAAGGCAAGAGAGAGGAAGATGGCTACTCAACCAGGCTTCAAAGTATCCGCGACTTTTGGCCGCATTTAAACGAGGACGTCTGCTCTTTGTACCGATCGACGTGAGGCTTCAAAGAAATATTTAAACTCGACTTGTAAGAGATCGTTTTGAGAGAGGCAGAGAGAAAGAGAGAGAGAGAGAGAGAGAGAGATTAATGAGTTTAGTAAACTCTACTTCTTGCAAAACACGGTCATTGACTGCTATGTTTATGAATGTCAATGCAGTTCATCTCTCGCGTTCTTGCACGTTTTTATAGTTGTTTGGACAAACCTTTACGTCTTTTTCTGACAATGCGGTTGTTTTTATGATGATTCTACAGACGTGTTCTTCGTAGCGAAACGATTGCACATAACTTAATTATTCAAAAATTGGTTTAAAATATTTCAAAGAATTTATCAATTTTACTTCGATATATTATTTCTCTACACAAGTGTCGCATCTCCATATGTAACAACGTTCGATGCGCTGTAATTAAGATCTCGGGCGTGCGTTAGCAAACTTGATTTGCTGCATTGTACATGTGCATGCATCTGGTCTAATAATAGATGTATATCCCGCCGATAAATTCAAACCGATAAACAACACGCGCACTTCACGATTCGGCATACCAAAGTCTGGTAGAACGTAATATTCAATACGGATTTCTTGAAACGCGGTGCGCTATTTTGGCGGAAAACAAATAGAAAATAAAGGTCATGTATTTCTCAAATTGATGATGTTAGCGCGATTTTTCGCAGAATGGCGAACGATATTCGAGAAGTTCAGTGTAGTATTTTAATATATATTTCGAAAACGGAAATCATTTTTATTTGCTTTTATCTTATATTTTTCCACTTATATAAATTTGATTAAAATCAACATTATATATATAATTTCAGTTATTATTAATTTTCAAAAAATATTTGATAAAAAATATGTACACAAAAAATTATATATATCAATATCAAATTGTCATATTTTTATATAAAAGTTCTATATTAACTGAGAAAATATAATTGTTATATTATTAAAGATGCGTGATATCAATGTGATATGTTCTTCTCATACATATTATTCTACCATGATACACTGAACTCAAAGCTGATGCAAAATTGAAGCAGTTACGTTGCTGCATATGTTAAACCTAGTTTCTTGTATTCGAAAGAGACAAAGGGTAATGAGGCTGTCGTACCTTGTATAGACAGCCTCGTGTTAGTACGAGTATGCCAGGTAATTAGGAGGCCCAATTCGCAAAGTTGGACGTTGCATTAAGATTCCTTTAGATCCTATTAAATGCGAGAACGCATGCGTTAGAATAATATCAAATAATAATAATATTTGCAAGCAATATCGTGAAAATAATTAAAGTACTAGGTTTAATATTCCATTCGATTATTACGCACGATTTACTTTGATCAAAATTATTGTTCTATATTCACGTGTCTAACAATAGGTACGCGTATAATTTATTAAAATTTCGTATTTTAGCGTTCTTTATAAACAATCGACAGTTCTTTATAACAGTTCATGTTTCGTTACACATGCTATTGATATTATAGAATGGTGTTCCTGTCATATTTTTAATCAATTCAATTTCTACTCACATCTACGCATCGGACGTAGTATTACGCGCGTTTGAAATTTCTCGGCATTTTGTATAAATCGTCTTTACATTTAAATGTCAGCTATTATTTTATGCGTGTAGCTTTGAAATGCGAATATAACGTGCCATTATATTATTAGCAAGTTTAGCAGCTTAAGTACTTTTACAAAGTCATTTTATTTTTATAGAATTTCTTCCTATTTTAGCCTTTGCGGTTAAACGTTCTATATAACAATAATTAATTCTTTTTATTATTCCATTCTGCCAAGACGGATAATACTGAAAGGAACTGAGAAATCCGCCGAGTTTTAATCTTTAAAATAATCTATGCCGAGCATTTACGCGCGTTAATTATACAGTCGATGTTACATTAACGAAACGACGGGAGCTAATTAATATATTAGAGAGTTATCTCTTTTACAAAACTGTCGGAAATTGTTACGTTAATATCAACTATATTCAACCAGGTAGTTTAGATCTCTCGTGCTTCTCAGTGGATTAACAATTTTCGACAGTAATAAGTACAACTGCAATTTACACACACACACACACATACACATTCACGTCTATTCAAGTGATTGCATGTGAGTATATGTATGTATATGTCTCGAGAGAATGCACGTATATATGTATGTGAAATGTGCTGAGAACGACAAGCAGCTGCAAATTTTCCTCGAATAAAGTAGCGGTTTGTCTCACTCTCGCGTCTCTCACATCTTAGTTTTTCCACTCATCTTTTCAACAAAAGAGATCTCTACAAGCGAGAAATTTCAGCAGCACGCGAGCAAACAACGCAGTTGCTCAATGAAGTGTTCAATTTGCCCTCGCCATTTTTTTTTCCATAACATGTAGTTCGATCAATATGCTGCGTATGATATTGCAACATGATATTATACGTATATATACAGGACTTTTTGAATCAATCTTACCATGATATTAAAAGTGTAAGATGATTTATATAGAAACATTTTTCGATTTTTCGACATGTGAAAAAAAGAGAGGAAGAAAGAGAGAGAAAATTCGGCATTTGATTTAGTAACATATTATTAAAGCATATCTCAAAAGCGTTGATAACTATTGTGAAATATTTTTTTAAATAAAATGAACAAAATTTGATGCGATGATGTAAAAAGTATCCTACGTCAAAAGTAATTATACAAAAAATTTATGACAATTTACATGTACGCGCGTTAAAAGGATTTTATATGCAAAAATTGTGTATAGTTAACTTTATTCATATGTATGATAATTTTTTATTTTATTTGAACAATTTTATTTCACAAATATAATATAAAAAAATATCGTATTACTAATATTTATTATTTGTGTAAAATATCGTATATGTTTCAACATTGCCTAGAATGTTTTCTTTTTAGAGCTTTCTTAATGCATAAAGAAGCAATAAAGAAAGCTTACTTTTGAGCATCAAGTAAACTTTATTTTACAATATGTTTATCCTTTGTACAAAATCTCTATTCTCTTATATACATATATACATACATACATATATATATATATATATATATATATATATATATATATATAAGGATAAAAGTATCCACTTTAGTTTGCAAAATATTAAGATACTAAGCTCAGTCAGGATTATATTACTTTTAACGTTATCTCGTCATAAATGTTCTTAAATCACCTTGCTTTATTCTTTAATCCTACTAATCCTTTTCTCATCTTTGTATGTTTTCAGCGGAAGAATTGGGAAGCAGCAAATTGAGCACCACATTGCCAACGGCGCCGACTGAGCTCTCGCAGTTTCCGAAACTCTGCGAGTTGCGCCGAAAATTCCCGGTTCTATACCGAGTGGAGTTTCAGGTGAGACCTGGTAAATCCCATTTCCCATCTACTCATTTAACTTTGATCACCTTTTGGGAAAGGCCGAACTCGACCTTTCGCTTCGACAACTTTTACGGCCCACTCTTCACTTCGATACGCTATCGATTATCGGACAATGTCTACCGAAAATCGCCAATTAATATAACAATTTATTACATTTTATCATTTCGAGACTTTGCTCGACTCCCGGTGAGCATATAATTATATTAAAAAAGTAAAAAATGTGTGTTCTTAGAATTGCAAATTAAAAATGTTAATTCTTTTTTTTTTGACAACGCGGTACCTTTTGATGTATAATAATAAGCAAACGTTTTAAAATAGCGTTTTAATGATTCTGTTACAAATATCGAAGGGAAATATCGATCATATTGTTAGACGGAATAATATCTGCTTGCATGTTAATACAGATATATATGTATATATATATGTATATATATATATAAAGCGGAACTACGTGACGCAGTCACTTATGCATACGTACGTATGTACGTGCAGGCATACTTGCGGATATCGCAGTGCTTGGGGGATAGGCAGACAGCCAAGAGACAAAGCGAGCTTCTCAGGAGTAGGTCGAGAGAAATCGAGATTCACCATTATATCGGTTTCTCATTAAACCGCGATTCGGGACACGCAAATTCCGCGAAGATATGTATGCTTTATTCCGGTAATTTCAACCAGATATTCAAAACGATTAAAAGCCGTTTTATCGCAAGAATATCGTGAATTTCGCGTCTCACGATAATATAATAATTCTAAAACATTTTGGTCTGATTGAAATCTAAACGTCCAAATTTTGGTGCTCTAAAATCCTTTAAAATTTTTTCTTTACAAAAATTAAAGTGTTATCTTTTAAAATGTAGTCGGATTATTTTTTTTAAAAACTAGCAGAGACACATCTATTGAATTTAATTTTTCTTTTAAATTCAACGATTTTATTCGCGTCTGAAATAAATTGAACTTCATAAAAATTTAGTTGGAATTTTCAAAGTTGATGGAACACGTATCTTTTTTTTATCACCGTCCAAATTCTCCTAGCGCAATTTACCTTCTGTTACTTCATCATTCCTATATTATTATGCAAGTAGCATGTAATGCATAGGAGGAATAAGAAAACTTCATGCGGACGACGAGACACAATTGAATTCTTAACTGCAATGCCTCAGAAAGCGACATACATCCGATCTGATCTCCATTCTTCGCTTCATATCTCAGCCTCAACACGTTCCACCCTGCGTTGCTGTTTCAGGGGAGACGTTAGCGGTCTCAGGCGATATTTACATATTTCACCGAGTTGCTCTCACATCCCTATTCCGCGAAGCGTAAAATTGATCTACATCCTTTGTAGTAAGAAAATACTCGTTCCCCGTGTATACGCAGTTTCACTTTTGAAAAATTCGAGTTACCGTTGGACATCGGGCCTTCTAACAATAAGATTTATTCTATCTTTCATATACCCTCGCGCGAGGAAAGAGATAAAAGGAGGGTTCAAAGATATCATGTTATATAAAACAATTTTTGACAAATATCGTTTCGAGCTCTAAAGATTTAAAAACCCCTTTCGCGCGATACAAAGCATCGACGAAAGTCAGTCGTTCTTTCGAAGGTATATCATTTGCTAGTGTAAGCGCGTCTTTGAGAGATCCGCCTGACACGCGATAAGCGTCGCCTAAACACGGACGAAAGAGGGCGAATTTTTTTTTTCCCGGGCGTTCGCCATCGACACGAGAAAGCTCTTAACCCCGCTCTCTCGTACGGTATGCACGACGAAGGGCGGCCCTCGAGCGCAGTTTATACGCCAACGGAGATTATCCCAGAGATATCCGATGTCCTCGCGGCGCAGGTTCTTTCTAATCGCCTGGGAATAATCGCAGAGGGGGATCCATCTATTTTTTTTATACGACACCCATTTTCGACATTCCATTCCCGAGAAATTTTTGCACCCTTTTTTGTGAACGAAAAAAATCTAGCAAACTATTGGCGCTAGAGACTCAGAGCAGGATGACAAAAATAAAGGGGACGAACGAATGGCGGCCGCTGAATTTTAATCTGGCCGGCGTGGCGCAGCGCGACGCGAAAACCATCTCGGCTTGATTTTTAAATTAAACTCGCCTAGCATTATCGGAAATGAAAGTCCCTGATGTTCGACAAATACTGGCGAATGAAACGTCATACGTATTCATGAAGCGGCGCGCAGAATGCGAAAAAATTCCGGGAGCTGCGCATTTACGCGTCGCGTGAATTAATTAAATTTTCTGCGACCCGAGAGTTGCTAATGGTGATAGTAATAATAGAGATGTATATTCGCGTCCGATCGACGTATTGAATCCAAATTATTCCCGCGATCGGGAAAGCGAAATCGATCGGAAAATTGTTCGTGCGTGTCGTCGTGTTTCAACCTTTCTGTCAATGCGCTATTTTTCATCTTTTCATCAATGTATGGATAGTCGAATGCCAACTGTGTGTTTTATTGTGACGCATTGCATTGTGACAATTTTTTTATAGCAGCTGCTGGGCATCGAATATTGTTTCCTTCCTATTATATTTTAGGTTTTCGAACACAAAGGCCCTTTGTATTTTGTCTGAGAAAAGTTTGGACATATTTTTTATATTTAAATTTAAATATTTAATATTTAAATGCTTTGTATGCCCCGATATCCGTTCATTGACAGAAGGGTCAGAGAAAGCTCAAATGGTACACTCGACAGATTTAAGCTCCAAATAATGCGACACGTGTGATTGTCACGTAATTTTCTATCATTTGCCGAATTTTAGACATCAAGCAATCGTCATTGCCAAAGAAAACTACTTTCTGGCTACTTTCACTGTATATCGCAATACACAGTGTAAATATCGCGCGAATATTTGCAGCTGTTTGCCACGCGCCGAAAATTTGGCGTCATCTGCCAACATTCGCGATTCCGATTAAATTGACGCGAGATCGTGGCGTCAAGAAATTTTAAAGTTCTCTGACGCTACTTTCTGCGGAAAATTGGATTCATCCGTATACATTAATCGCGAAGAAGTAAATATAGGTACGAGTTTTTCGCGTTATCGGCTAAGAACTTTTTTTCCAATACGGATTGTAAAACTTTCAGAAGGGTATCGTATTTTTTCTCCTTTTTTTTACCTCGAGCATATTTATAATCAAAGTTTCGTTTATAATTAACTGTCAATTTTATCACAAGGATAAGTCGTGAAAGCACGGAAAAAGAATATTTAATATTCTTCTCTTTTTTTCCTTTTTCCTATACAATCCAAATTTTCCTTATACATTTCCTGACAAAGACTCTGTGATTTCTTAAATGCTGCTCTATGTATAGAACTCAATTTATTCAACATCCGCATATTCACGTTACTGACACGTGGTCCAATATGATTCAACGATTCAATGGTTCAATTGTAATCTAAGAATATCGATGATACAAAAATGATTTAATGACGTGAGATACTCGGGATTAATTCTTTCAGCGCAAATAATATAAATATTCGGCATAAAAAAAAAATATATATATATATATATATATAATCGACATTACATAATTTTGTACAATAAATAATTTTATGCGTCGTCAAATTTATAATTTATAATTTTTTTTACTATTTGGGATTTTTTCGTCATAATTACAAATTAAATTTTTTTATTTCACATTTGTATTTTTATGTTGCAGACGGCAACGAAGGTGGAAACACATTCGTGCAGACACGCTACAAAGTCCGCGAACAAGGAAAAAAATCAGAATCAAAAGTGTATTCCATGTAAGTAAATAGTCATCAATCGAGTTTCTTATTACATCGCGAATATTGCCGCTTTCGGAAATAAATCACGTTGATTGCATGCACAATTTGCGGACGCAATAAAATAAAATGTCAATTCAAAACGATGAAAAGCTGCGTAACGAACGTTCGTTCTTGTAATTATCCGTGAATAAGCGAATACGATTGCAATAGTGCGATTCAATGTCTCTAATAAAATTATAAAACTTGGAATAAATTAAGGATATATTTTATTTTATACATATATATAATAAGACAAAGATAATATAATGTTATTATATTATGTCTTTTTATCGCAATGTATATACACACACATACGTACACATATATGTACATATATGTGTAATAAGTATGTAAGTATATATGTGTATAACAACAGATTTTATTTATTCCACCTTACGTTTAATAATTTTATTAGAAACATTGAATCGCAATAAAAATTATCTCTTTCTTCGATATATATATATATATATATATATATATATCGCGACGCAAAATTATCTTTTTCTCTTCGATATATATCGCGGTAGAAAAAGATAATTTTTATTGCGTTAATAACCATTTCGCGGCAGTTTCCAGATTTTCGTTAATTAACTTTCTCGCCAGGAGAAAGAAGAAACAAATCACGGTTACAAGGCGGCTGCAATCGCCGACCTGTTCCTTTAACAAGAATTTATTTCCGTTCTACAATAAGAGATTTTGCCACCTAAAATGTTTCTCTCCGCTTCTTTTTATAGACGACTATAATAGGGTAGTATTGGACACGATAGAGGGCGAGCCTGATTCCGATTACGTTAATGCATCCTATGTAGATGTGAGTATATCACGATATTCGATAATAAACGAGTATTTAATGCTCGAGAAGACAAATTAAGAGCGTTCTTAGTTTACGCGATCCAATATTTCATAGCAAAATCATGTCTTTTCTCATGTAGAAGATGGATATTAGCCAGATTTGTGGATTCGCTTCATTTATCTACCTCTCTCTTTCTCTTTACGCTATGCACAAGCTGATTATTCCATCCGCCCAAGGCTTAGGCGTATATTAATGATGTGGCGGGTTTCGAATTACAGTGTGTCGATATTGATTGCATTTCAGAGTATATTGAAACCGAACGCTTACATCGTCACTCAGGGACCTATGGAGAACACGGTGACGGAATTCTGGCGGATGGTCTGGCAAGAACAGGCTTCCTGCATCGTTATGTTAACGAAGACCTTTGACTTTATCAAGGTAAAGGGTGTGACAGACTGAAGTGACATTCTCGCGAATAGAGACAGTTCGCGCAAATCGGAATTATAGCCGATTAATTATTTCGTCGCGTTCTAGAAACATAATTTTACGGCGAGACTTGACGTTGACCAAGGATCAACGTCCTCAATACCAGTATTAATCTTTCTGTTAATGAACGAATACTTGGATATCCAAAGTAACTTTGAATGTTAAAAATGTATCGAAACAATTGGTATTGGGTACATTGATAAAAATATGAAAAATTATGCGTTGACAGAAGGGTTAAACTTAAAGTTCATTGTATAAAAATTCTGTAAACCGTCAGGTTTATCAATTGTAACTCTTCTTGTCGCAGGTAATGTGTGTACAATATTGGCCCGCGAGTAAGGACAAAGACGAGGAATACGGTGGTATCGGTGTTTCCGTGCTAAAAGAAGAGGAACTCGCCAATTTTCACATAAGGACGATAAAACTCTACAAGAAGAACGAGAATGACGTGAGTCCATTTATCGTTATCACGCGAAATTTGTGCGTTTTACATTACATCTTATACACATGTCTGGAATATGATATAAAGCGTTAAACGGGGATATAAAATTGGAAGGAGTGTTATTTTTCGACATATACGCAGCAACAGAATAACGCGGATACGCAAATACGCAAATAATATTGAATATTTAGTCGCGAGAAGGAACGCAAACATGCGCGATGGAGATCGATCGGCAAAATGTTCAGATATTCGTACTAGTCGTCGCGCGAATTTGTATATATTCGTATATGTATTGAAAAACTCACGATACACACGCGTCCTGTTATTCTTTCATCGTTGACGAAACGACGATGCAAATCCACCGCAACATAAGTCTAAATATCAAAATATATTCGTGTATATAAAGAATAAATCACAAGAGCCTATAGAGCGAGCGCCACATCAAAGATTATCCGGATAATCCACATCAGAATTTGTTAGGGTCTTCTTTTATTGACCGAAAAAGTTTCGCGTCAAACATTCGCGAAAAATCTGCGAGTGTGAGTCTCTCTCTCTCTCTCTCTGCGATTGGATAATATGGTCCGGCAACGAATTCCGAATACCAAAATTTGTCGCGAAGTAGAAAGATCTCGCCAGATTGTCATGAGAAAGGAAAGGAATGTGGAATATAAAGTTATCGGAAAAAAGTCGATAAAATTAACTATGTATAGACAGAGATCGTCGTCATTTTGGACGTTGCCTGAATTCGAAATGTACGTAAATTGTATGATATGCTTAGTCGATGCGATAAGTTTGCTCAAAGAGTTATTACACCGGAGGCGTAATTTAATTGTGCTTTTCTCCGTGAGAGAGGAGAACAAGGAACGACAATTGCGGGGACTTTCTAAAGCTCTTTCATGCTACCTCTTATGCTTTGTGATCTGATTCCGCCACCGGCGTCGTTACTTACCTACTCCTTTTCTCGTGCAACTTTTTTTCTGTTATTCGACGAGTATTTTTCCGCGGACTTTTCAAAGCCACCCCCTTTGCGTTATGCTTCCGACGACTGTCTCTGAACCTTTAACTTTGTAATTCTTTCGTGTCGCGCCAGAAAAAAATGCTCTTAATTGTTCCAACGGTGTTATTTTATGATTTTATACGTGACAATATATTTCTTATTTTTTCGTATTAATCATTTAACTTTTAAGAAAGAAAATCAAATATATGTCTTAGAAAAAATAATTAAAGTGATTAAAGATATAATTGAGTAAATTGACTGATTAAAGAAGCATTGTGATTAAATTTACGTTCGTCTATTATCGTCTATCCAATTATGTGTTCAATTGTATTTTTTCAAAATATCGGCGACGTTTTCCTGACTGTTTAATTTTCTCTAAGGGTCTCACACGTGGTATAATATATTTCTTACTTTTTCGTATTAATCGTTTATTTTTGTAAGAAAAATTAAATATATAAAAAATATTTCTAAAAAATGCGTTTATAAGAATATAATTGAGAGTAGACTTGCTGATAAATATAAAAAAAGTATCGCTTATATATTTTTGTTCGTATATTATCGTCTGCCTTTTTATGTTTTCAACTGTACTTTTTCAAAAAATAGCCGCAAATTTTCTTGACTGTTTGATTTTCCCAAAAGATCTAAAATAATTATAAGCCCGCTTATTCACAGCGTCATTGAGGAAAATCATAGTTAGAGAACGATCTCACGTTACAAGACAAGTGACATCTCATTAAAGTCCGTCACCTGTCTCGTGTTCAGCACTTTTCTCGACGTAAAACTATTAACTATAACGATCCGCGCGAAATTATATTCGTGACATCGCGCGACGATGTCTGTCGAATGACAGACGCAATGGAGCAATTATTCTCGAAATTCACGGGCTCGAATGAAATTTAATATAAAGAAAGACGAAAGGGGAGAAGTAACCTCATTCCGGAAGTAGCAAAGTGCTGCTAGCTGAGGCGTTAACGAGAACGCCTCAACTTGTAACGCGGACTCGAGCAAGATGCGACTGCAATTTTCGTGCTTAAACGCGGCATTGTTGGGATAACAATGCCGAGGGGGAATCTTGATCTTCAGAAAAGTTATTTATCGGTGATTTCGACAAGTCGCCTCGCCAATTTGTTGAGCGACGATCTCTTTCACAGTTCTTCCATCATAAATGTCAGAGCGCTTAATCTCACATATATACATATATTTCGAATAGTTTGCGACAAGGTGAGAAAAAGAGAGAGAAAATATATTGTAAATTAATAAATTATAATTAAGAATTGATATTCATACGAAATATAGGATATAAATAATTTCGATTTAATTTAATTCCATAAAAATAAAAAGGTCATTGAATAATGATGAATAATGAATAAATAATAAATGAATATAAAAATAATTTTTATCAATGATTCCCAGTCAAAATTTATGTTATGTAAACGCGTTTTCGCAGGAAATCACGGAAGAGAGAACGTTGTTGCAATTTCACTATACAGAGTGGCATTCGCATACGTGTCCCTTCGGCAACGCGGTGCTGGAATTTAGACGGCGCGTTCGAGCCGTCGTGGGATCAACTCTAAAGAATGAATCCGGGCCTATGATCGTTCATTGCAAGTAAGGGCGCGAATTTACTTTGTTAGTAAAAGCAAAGTGGTACGTTGCTTTCGCGAATGGGATAATCAATTTGTTTGTTTCTGATGTGCAAAGCGACGGTGGCGGACGATCGGGAGTATATTTAGCGATCGATGCGAACATGGAGCTGGCCGAGGAGGAAGACGCGTTCGACGTGTTTGGTTATTTGAAGAAGTTAAGGCAGAGCAGGAGAGGACTTATAGAAAATTTGGTACAACACTAACTTTTGCTCAATATCGTAAAAGTGATATCGTGTCAAATGAAAGAAAAGTTTTGTATTTCGAACAGTTTACGTGAAAGTGTTTGACACATAAGCAAGAATACATCTATTTTATTTTTTATAAAGTAGAGACTTCGTGAGACATTTGTCGATATAAATCAATTCAATCATTAATTTCTTTTTCAAAAATTACTCCGTTTCGGAGATCGGTCGATGATATATTGCCTCGATGTACAGGATATTTCAGAACTGGCGGAAAAGTTTTCAATGGTAGATCCCTGATATTTGGAGACAATTTTTCCTCAGTGAAAATGTCGAGACACCAATAATTTTTTAATTATAAGCAGTTGAAAATAAAAGCTTTTTTTGGAAACTAAGCCTTCTAGGAATAAAATATTAACAGAACTACATTCTTCAGTTAATTTTAGGTAGAGTTTGCTTTAATGGAATTTTAATATAAGACTTAGTTATATAAAGATACATAATAGCAAAAATTGGGAAAATGCTAAAAATGATGGCCTCCCTCAACATTTTCACTAAGGGAAAATCGTCTCCGAATGATACCAAGAATCTGACATTAAAAATCAGTTCCACCAGTTCTAAAATACCTATTGCTAACTTATATCTTAATTTACATTGTCGTACACAGGAACAGTACAAATTCATTTACGACACACTCGAGGAATTCGTCGTGTGCGGTCCGTCCTGGTTCCCCGTGGCGGAACTGTCGCATCGCTTGAAGCAGAAAAGCGTAAAGAACCCTATAACCAAGGTGAACGAGTATCAACGGGAGTATCAGCAGATTTGCAAACAGACGCCGCGCTTTACGATCGGCGACTGCGCCGGTGGCCACAGAGCCGATAACAGGGAGAAGAACAGAGACGTTCTAGTAGTACCACGTGAGTTTCACGCAACTAGCGGTCGCGCGAGATTGCTTTTCTCCTCTCGGCTCCAAAACAATTATTTTTCTTTTGCTTACAGCGGACAATTTTCGACCGTACCTGACCAGTTTTCAAGGCAACAGTTTCACGGATTATATAAACGCCGTCTTTGTAGATGTAAGTCTCTCGATAGAACATATAAATCTCTCCATTTTTAAATTCATCTATCTTTATAATTTATCTAGTGTTGTCAAAAAAAAAAATTGCATTCTTTATCGAGGTCAAATTTTATAAAACGTGACAATTATATTATATTGCAAAATGACGTGTATTATTACCGGAAATATAAATTTAAAATGAGACTCATTCATATTTATATTGCGCATATAGCAATAATTTCTGTTCGATAATAAATAATTGATAAATGTCGAAGATATATAGATAGAAAGTTCCGTGGACCGATATATATATATATATATTGTATATATATTGCAATATTTCTCGCGATCCATTTGGCAATCGTGCGTTGCCAAGTTCTTCCCAAAAACACTCATCTACTCTCGCTATTCTACGCAGGGCTATACGAAACCGAGAGAATATATCGTAACGGAATGGCCCCTTCGACACACGTGCGGTGAATTTTGGTCTTTGGTTTACGACTACGAGTGCGCGGCAGTGGTGGTGCTATGCGTGCCCGCTCCAGGATCCACAAATTTTCCCAGCTTTTGGCCAGAAGGGAGGCACTCTAAGAAATACGGACCCGTGTTTACGATCGACCACATCAGCCATAATCATTACACTAACATAAAAACCTGGGTGAGAACCAATCTCTGATTTTTCGTTTGCTTCGAAACTCCAACAATTTTCAGTTTTCAAATAACTTCAAAATTATGACTTTATTTTTAAATCTTCGACAAAGAAAAAGTCTACGTACAATACTATATATGTATAATAAAAGATTAAAATGAAAAAAAATGATATGGATCTCTAATAAACTCTAAATTATCAACGAATTATGTTTATCAGGTTTTCAGGATAAACAAGAAGATCGTCTCATTGACGGAATTGATGGCAGGAGTGAAAGCGCCACCGAAGACCGTGCAACTGTTCCAATTGACCTGTTGGCCAATGGGCCACAAAGTGCCCACCTCCACAAATAGTTTAGTGGAGCTCATGAATATGGTTGAGAGATGGAGGCAACGAACGGACTACGGACCGGTGGCTGTGGTATCGCCTGATGGCAGAAGTCGTTGCGGAGTCTATTGTGCCGCCAACGCGTGCATAGAACAGGTCATTCAACATGGGGAGGTTGACATTTTTCAGGCTGTTAAAACTGTGCGTAGGCATAGGCCCCAGCTTATCGAAAATATGGTACGTACTTGTTTCAAAATAAAATTACAGTATATATTTAACATAGATGTTTTTCTTTATTTAATCTAAATAAAAACTGAGTATCTTTTTTCGAATTTTATCTCGTTTCTATAATTTACGATACACCGCTTTTGAAGATTGATTTCTTAGATTTCATTTTTTATCCATTAGAAAAATGTATTTACTCAAAAATAATATTGTCAAAATTATAATACCGTCTAATAAGAAAAAGAAATAATTTCTAATAATCTCCATCTATTAAAATTATTAAGATTTACATTTTTATTTTAAATGTTTGACTAAAGATTCGAGTCAAAATAAAATAAAACTGTAATAAAATTGATTTTACTGTTATACCAAATATACAAGTTCTTTAATATTATTTAACATAGCAACGTATTTCTCTTCCTCTCTCTTTACAAAAGAGAACTTTAATCGGAACAAAAGGTAAGATACTATGCTGTAAAAAAAAATATTGTGCAACATTTCTTTCTAGACGGAATACAAGTACTGTTACGATCTGGTCCTGCACTACGTGCTGCATTATTTGAACAAAGACATGAATGAAAAGAAGTGAGAAAGCGAGTTGAGGGACGAGCTGTGGTTCATCGAATTCGGTCGGGGAGCAGCGCTGCCATTGACCCCGGAGGAGGCACCGGCGGACGGAGAACCTGTCGTACCCTGTGCTCAAGGTCGCGTGATCGTCGAGACGGCGAGGCCGGCGCCGCCGCACTTTGCCACCTGCTCCACCTATCGCAGACCTCTCCTGAGCCGCACATCGAACGAGGTATCGATCAGCGATGGCACGATACCGTCGTCGAGCGGCACCGAGTACAGTCAGCAAGAGTTGGAGCAGCAGCATCACAGGACTATCAAAGGCAAAGGCGCCGTCAGTAAAGGAATGACGACGACGACGACACCACAGAGTCCTGCCGCGAGGCCGGACGATCTCGGAGTGACACCCTGGTACCTGGAGGATTATCCGACGACGGACGGATCGCCGGGGCCGATGGGCGATCGGAGCTCGTATCCCTTGTACTCGCACGCTGACGGTGGCAGACCGGATCTGAACTCGACGAGGAACAGCAGCGTCGAGGGCGAGTTCCCGAGGTCGGCGGCGCCTGTTCCTCGCCGGGCCTGCATGGACCTGAAGGCCGCGATGGAGCTGCTGGACGAAACCTGCCCGAACGTGGAACCAAGTCCGTCTCTCACCCCGAAGACACCCAGGACACCGCTCACGCCGTACACGTCGCGCAGCAAAAGAGCCCGCTCGAAGAGCAGCGATAATTCCTCCAACTACAGCAACGATCGGCTGAGCGATCGCTCGTTCGAGACCCTCAAGGACAAGGACAAGGATAAGAAGAGGCCGTTCTTGAGGAAGATCGGTATTTCCAAAACGGAGGATCGACCGTTCCTAGCAAAGTTCACGCCAAGGATTATTGGGAAACCTTACTTGGAGAAGATCGGACCCAGCAGAGCCGTCGAAAGACCGTTCTTGGACAAGATCGGCTCGTCAAAGACCTTGGATAAATTTACCTTCGACACGCCGCGCAACGAACGCAGAAACGAGGTAAGAAACGAGAGGAAGACGAACGATGGGCTGAAAAATCACGCCAGGATGAAGAACGATATTAGGAGACACGAGACCGAGGAGATAATCGCTACTAAGGAAAACATCGACAATACTGTTCAAAAGGTAACACTCCTTACTTCGCATTCGGAAGAAGTACAAAGCAAGCCTCTGGAGACGTCGGCGGCGACGTTCGAGAGAAGACGTTCGGGGAAAGAGTTCCTGTTGAAGATGTATTCCTTCGAGACGGAGGACTTGGAGTCCACCGTCCCGGCGAAAGACGACTCGTTCGTGGATAACGCCCTGGATTCAGGCCCGAGTTCGTTACCGACGGAAACCAGCGACGAACAAACGGCGTCGAGACCAGAATTGCAGACTCGGCCGACCAGCGTGACCGCGGAGTTGTTAAAGTGTCGAGTGACCACCAGCGAGGAGATCATATCTTCGTCCATCACGTGCCTGAACTCGTCGAGCGACGCCAACAGCTGGAGCAACTCGCCGCGAAGAGGGCAACGAGCGAATAAGAGGGAATCGGCCCTGATTCGTCGTAGAATTTTTCAGGGTTCTTGCGAGGTGGTTCGTAGCGACGACAGCACGCCGAATTCACCCACGAAGAGGCCTATCTCGAGCGTCTCTCCCGATCGCGAGTTTCGAAACAGCACCTTGGAAAGAGGAATGCTCTCCCCGACGAAAACCAGGAGATCGATCGTCGAGGATACCAGCCGAAATACTCGGAGATCGATCAAGTACAATCAGTTCGAGAGACGAGGCATCTCCTCGGACAATCTTCTGGCGAAGGACGCTCTCTCGTTTGTCCCTGCCTCGCGGACTATAACCGATGACATTGGCAGAACGCGGGAGATTTCGTCGGAGGACTCGCTGGCGACTCGTCGGAACGAATACACCAAGGAAACGTTCAAGCAGCTGCAGGAGAAATTCAGGCTGCAGGAGATACCCATGGAGAGTTACGCGTCTTTCTTACGGCGCACTCGAGCCTCTCAAGGCGCGTTGAGTCGACACGAGAGGCTGAATTTACTACCAGCGGAATCCGATATAATCCTGAAGAGCTCGTTCGGATCGAGAGATATTGCGAAAGAGTTCGACGCGAAAACGATCGAAATTGCCGAGGAGAAACGAGATCTGAGTCGAGAGGGCACGGTGAGATCTATTTTGAGAAAACAGGAAGGAATCGATCAACCCGATCACGAGTCGGATACGAATGCGTCCATCAGACGACCGAAGAGACGGATCTTTCACGAACCGTCGCAGGAGACCATGGATCTACTGACGGAACTGCGTAAAGTCAAGAGCTTGCTCAAAACTCCATCCTGGGAGAAGGATCTGGATCTCGATCAAAAGCCAACGCGGATGCCGAAGCGTATTTTGTTGACAGATAAGGAATTCTGCCTCTCGGTGGAACGAGAGAACAGCGTACGACGTCCGTCAAAGATGATCAATTCACTCGAGACCACGGAAGAGGGCAAGGTGACGTTGAATCGCGAGAATAAGGAAGAAAAGGAGAATCGGTCGAATAAAGAGACGAAAGTCGATCGAAAACCACCCGGGTTGGCTCTGTTCGAGAAGAGATGCATGTCATTGGATTACGCCGACGAGGAGAAACCTCAGAAGCCGGAAGCACGCGCCATCTCCCTGGCATCTACGAGGGACCTGCCGTTCGAAGTTGAAGAGAGCGACTATCCTGATCTGATCTACGACTCGAAGAGCTGTTCCTCGGATGTCTTCAACTCTCCGTCCGACGAAGTAGACAGAAAAGTGGACGAACTAATATCGGAGACGGAAGAGCCGAAGAAGCCTAATCAGAATCACTGCGTCGAGGTGGACATCGCTATTCCGATCGATCGGAGGATCAACAGTCCCAAAGGCGAAGATGTCCAAGAACGAACCAGCGATCTCTACGAGATTATATCGCCTCGGTCGACGCCGTTCCGCGTTAAGAAGCGACTCGGAAAAATCTCCGTCGAGGAGACCGTCAAGCCGGAAAATTTCACCCTCGGTTCTAAGGTCGACTGCCGATCGGTTGTTGCCCAGAAACGGACAAAGTGTGTCCCCTTATAACGCACATCGACCTGCCCGTGAGCGAGATTCTCTCTGCGACGGCGCCGATTCTCATGCTCGCATCGTGAGAAAGAGGGATACAGGTGCGCAAATTACGCGTTAATTGTATTTCGATTTAACCCTTTCGGTATTGTATATTAGATACGAACGATTGAATGTGCAAAATATCAAATATATGTACATTGGAATTTCAACAAAATATTATATACAATTTTTATTTCTTTTAACTTGAAGTTTTTAATTATTTTTAATATTATTAAAAACGAAATTTTAAACGAACAAAAATTCTATATATGTTTCATTAATTTTTTTTCTCTCGCGAAAGGCTCATTTTTTCCAAATTGTAATATACAATTTTTATATTTTACAATATTTTTATAATATTCATTAAAATTTTAATACAAAATTGTCTTTTGTGGAACGTGCTTATAGTCACACATTGATAAAAGAAACGAAAAATTATTCATTAAATAATTATTAGAAATACTGGGATTTTAACAAAATATAACATACAATTTTATTTTTTTTTTCTACTAGGAATTTTTTATAATTTTTGATATTAATAAAAAATTGTTTAACGAAAAATTCGTTCCATGTTTTTCACTTATTTTTTTCTCCCATAAAAGGCTCATTTTTTCAACATTGTAATATACAATTTTTATAACATTTTTAATAATCTTTTATATTTTATAATACTTTTATAATATTCTTTATAGAGTTTAACAGTCTTAGAACGTGTTTATATAATCACATATTGATAAGAGAAACACAAAAAATATTCATTAAAAAATCATTAAAAATTACTATATTACAGCGCACATAAATACTACAAGGGTTAAATTGATCCAATAATTCGTACAACGATTATACGCGATTCTATTGTATATTTATCTTCTTTCGATACGAGCATGACATTCCTTTATGTTGCTTCTGAGATTAAACGATCTGATAATTGAAACCTCGTCAATAAATCGCCTAGATGAAGAAAGTGTCGCGATGTATTCGCGTTGGACGGATATTTTTCTGATGATGCTTGTCTTATAATGACTTTGTACATTAACGCTTTTAGTCGAAATTAGTCGTGTAGGTGAGAGGAAAAATAGTGATTTACTTCTACTCTTCGTATAAACGGTTATAACAATGGCACTTGCTGAATACAATCCTCTAGCTTATCAAAATTTTTCTTGCCATATTTTTACGCAATTTTAAATAACGCAATAAGCGATAGACAGAATGATAAAAATTGTGGAAGAAAAAAACTTGAAGGCATAGAGATAAACGCGTTTAGCAAACGCCATTATTTCGCATAATATAAAGCCAGATTATCGTGATAGATGAAATGGGATCACAGGGATCTCTTTGATCGAAAAAAATGTTATTAATATTCTATTGGTCGAGTGAAACGATGTCCTCTCGAAAGTAAATAACAAATTTCGATTACTTTCGGATGACAGATGAGAAAGATGAGGATAGAAAGGAACAATTCACCAGCTTTATAAGTAAAAATCTGTCCAGTCTAGAGCTATAAACCCCCCCGGAGTTTTCGACGCGACGAGTACTTTTGTCGGAATGTGCGAGAGCTCCTATCGAAATATTCTAAAGCGCACCCCGACCATTTTTTACTCGATCTTTTCGAGAAAGCCCGATGCGGCGATAGAGACTCTACACTCGCTGGTGCGCAAGAACGTGGTGGGATTTCCGGTGAAAATCCTTCTGTCGAGCAGAGAGTGCCTTGTACGTGGATATATATTATTTAAACAGGAATTAAGAGAGGGAGAAAGAGGACACAATAAAAAAAATACGCAAAGAAGTCCTAATCGACGATTTAATTCCGACTGCGCGCCAGATTTTCTGAATGGGTCCACGGAGTCGCGCTCTCGTCGAACGACAATTTTCTCGTTTTCTTACAAAACAAATGGTCCATCCTCGCACGACTGCGAGAAGAAATCGCAATTTCTGACGATCTATCGTATCTTTGATAACTCACCTTTGCGAGAGACATCGACGGACGAGATTTAGATCGAAAAAGGCTTATTAAAAATTAAAAAAAAAAAAAAAAGATATTCGGTAAGAAACGGAAAGAGATTCGCGTGAATTCGCGAGAATGCGACTCCCACGCAGATGCGTCCGCCTGCCAAGCCTGCTCTTTGTTCGGCGCGGCACATAATAACATTTTAGCGGCATAAAAACTTATATAAATAAATGATACAAAAATTTAAGCGCGTTCCTCTTATAATTTTTTAGCGTTAGATAGGATCGACAACGCAAAATTGATTGTGCGGAAAGTATATTAAAAAATGTAGATAGACACATATATATATATAGTATATATCAAATACATAAAATACGTACTATTGTTAATTTCGGTGAGATGTTTATGTGATGTGGCATTGCTTAATAATATCGATAAAGATGCATTTTTGATCCATAGCTTCACCGATCCATAGATTGTAAGTATTGGTACTTTCTCTCAAGTTGATAGAATACTCTTTCAATAGTGTATTTTAATAACTAATAATGTTAGTACTCTCGTAAAATCAATATTTATACAGAGCGGAATTTCCGCTCCGTCTCTGTCCTTTTCCTGTCAAGCAGAAGGTGACATGCGTTTATGTTTTAAACGACTGTCTAAACTAGCCCATAAATCCCCATAAAGCTCTCTAAACTTCCTCAAATATATAACAGAATTAAACACATTTCATTCTCAACTCTTGGAATATTAAATGTTTTCTAAATTCGAATTTTCTTTCGAAAAAAACGTGAAAATAGGAACAATTAAATGCATCTGGATCGATATTATATACAAGGAAAATACGTACGCATCTGGTACATATTAGAGATTAAAATGCGAATATATATATACATATATATATATATATATATACACGTGTGCATTCCTAGCCAGGTGTAATTATACAAATTTAATAGTTGATGAGATGTGTGTGCCAAATAAAAATACGATTTATTGTAGGGTACGCAAAGTTACTTTTATATACACATTACATATATATATACATATATATATATATATATATATATATATATATATATATATATGTTTGTGTGGGCGCGCGTGTTCGAACAAAATTATGTGCTTTGTGTATGTGAATGTATGTATGTGTGTATGCGTCTTTCTGTGCGTTCGTCGTCTGCACGTATAGATATAAATGCGTGTGCGAATTTAGTATACGCGTCTATGGCTAGGAATTGACCGTCTGTATATGCCGACCTGGATATGTGACATAAATGTGCACGAGAAAGATCACGATTCGTCCCGCTTTGAAAAAATGAGCATTTTATTTAATTAATTCGAAATGAAAATTAACTGTATTTTTTTTATTGCTATTTGGTATTTTTTTATTAATGCATTTATACAATTAATAAACGTTTTCTCTTCTTTTTACTTTACGCAGATATAGCAATATTTTATGAAGTTTAAATTACGTAAACGTGCGTATCGTTTTTTAAATTTATAATTTATTTTCTGTATTTTGTTTATTCTCCCTCCGCTTTTTTCATATTTGTTCTCAAATTCGTTCTCTTTTTTATTTTTTTTATTTCGGTTACTTCAATCTTTTAGTTTTAATTTTCTAATTTTTCCTACCATTTTTAGAATCAGTAAAATTTATTGTTAAACAACAAACAATTGCACACATTCAATTTATCATCGGATTATGGAAACGTATCGTGATCCTCCTTTAATTGTAGATCGCAATAGTGCGTGTATATAATATTTTTGGCGGGTATAATCCAAGATACATGGTGAGACAGGGTTCGCATTGTAATCTCTCGGAGAGCAAAAGTCGTCCACTCTCCTTTTAAATTTAATGAAAAGTTTTCCCCCAAGAGCATATACCGCAGCAGCCATCCGTCCACCCTTTCGGCTGTCCATGCAGGAGGTGAAAATGCAAAAAACATGCGCACACTCCCCGTTCTCAACAAATTCGTTGACGACAAACGAGAAAGAGGCGTGATTATTGCAGTGTTAGTGTTCCGACACGAAACTCTTTGGTTCTCGCGGGCGAGATTTAGTATTCAAATGTACACAGCGTTTATTAGTTGCTGTCGTTGCGATTGTTAGAAAGTTAGAAGCATAAAATCATCGCGCTCTAAGCACAAAAGAAGCTTCTCTTTCGGATAAATTTTTCTTCAAAGGCTTAATCGTTTAAAAAGAAACACAACAATGTTTTACTGTTGATTCAAAAATGTAACAATTGAAGATACGTACACTGAAAAAAATGTGTTAACTTGACTAAACCTTTCAATTAAATATATATTAATTGAACATATAAAAATGTTTAAATGTAACATATTAAATCTAACAAAACATAAATTTGACTTAAATACTTATATATGTTCAATTAACAAAATAATAATTTAGTTGAAAGATTTAGACAAGTTGACAAATTTTGTTTTCAGTGTATATTTTATATATACTTTGTTTCTATATATATGTATATATATATAAAACTCTGTTTTAATCGTGATGAAAAAAGAGAAACCGTTATATCGATGACTCTTATGCAAAGTCTAAGTATTATTAAATTAAAAGAATTGTTAGATTATACGAATATAAAAAAAGACATGGTAATTTCAAAAAGATAAAAAATAATATTTAAATTATTCTCTAAATTTTACGATCTGAAATTATTAAAATTTTTGCGGAAGTATATCCGTCTATTTCTAGATTATTCAATCTTCTCTTCTTGTTTATTCGAAAAAAATATATTGAACTGCGTTATAGATAGCGTAAACAGCAAGGATAATACTATGGGGTTGTAATGTTAATTGATTTCTGTTTACGCGTCACGTTGAACGTGTCACGCTATAATATATTGTAATAATACACAAGTACACGCACGCGCGTGTATACACACATAATAAAACATAATAAAATATGACTGTATGGATGTAGCTGTGTGAATGTACGCGACATATAAGTATCTCTATATGTGATGAGCGTTTGCCACGTACATGTCAATAAAATTCACATTGTGAACAAGAAGTCATTAAAATTGCCATCACGATTCATTATGTTTATAATGAATCGATGAATGCGAATGTGCGAAATAAAAAATCTAACGGCCTTTATTATTGAGATCGCCGCGCCTTGTGTTTTTGTCACAATATGTTGAACAATTTTATTGATTATTTATTTGTAGAAATATAGTATATAAATATATATTATTAGCTTACCTTGCGAGCTCATTAAACATTGTCAAATACAAGCAAATCAATACAATTTACAGTGTGAATTTCAGCAAAGTACATGAATTTTCGTAAAAGATACAGAAAGATTATTTTTTGTTTCATTTTTCTTTTTATTAAAAATAAATTTTTGAAAAAGAATATTTCTCGAATATTACTTAATTTATTTTATTATTACGATAATTTATTTTTATTATATTTTATAATATTCTCAGAAAAATGTATTTCTATATATTTATATATTTATTTATCTAGTATGTTTCATACATAATTACTATATGATATTTTATATAGTGGCAATTCTATGTGAATTTCAAGTGAATCTGATTTCTTAATCAAAGAGATAAGTTTTCAATTTCTATTATTGAATGTTACATTAATATAAAAATGATGCATTTGACATTAAAACTGTTTATAATTAGAGATATTTAATTAAAATTGTCTTCAATGTAAAATCTATTTTTTGCATACAAAATTTATTTATATATTATTAATAATTATCTGAATTTTTAATTTATTTTTAAGTTTATTTATTTTTAATTATTAATAATGTATAAATAAAAATAATTTTAGCAATGTCTATATTTATTAATATTTTTATAATTTCAAACATTGTTTCTTGTTTAAAACCAATTTACTTCAAATTGTTCGAACAATTTATTTCTAAAATATTTATTTCCTGATTTTCTGATATATATATATATATATATATATATATATATATGTGTGTGTGTGTGTGTGTATATATATATATATATATATATATATATATATATATTACCTATACGCACAAAATTTATTTATTGTACCTGCGTTTTGAAAACTGGCGTATTGAGTATATTTTATATATAACTGCAGTATTTTCCATTTTAATTAAAACCTTGTACAAATTGCTTTTTATTGCAAACATTTCAATCATTCAACGTTATTTGCAGAGAGGAAGGGGCGAGGAAGGGGAGAGGAAGGGAAGGAATTTGAATCGCTGCAAATCAATCATATATATATATATCTCTCTGTGTCTTTATATTCATAGCTTTGCTATCCAAAATTAATAAAACAAAAATGTCATGCGACTCACCGTAGATGCGTAGATAATCGGATTCATTTACCTTAATAAGATTCTCGCCGGGCGAAGCGAGTGTATATCGATGCGATGATTTCTCCAATATTGGTTAAGAAGCCGGCAGTCTCGCAATGCAGCTGCGAAACCTGTAAAATGTATATAAATTATTCATTTCGAAAATTGTTAACAATTCGTGTTACTGATTCTGGAATTACGTACGGAAAATTGCTCGATTCATCGTCCAAAAGAATCACCGAAACGAAGACACGTCCTTTCTCGCGGCGACTCTCCCTCCATTTGCACTTGCACTTCGTACAATGAAAAAGGCGCGAAACTGCTCGACTAGCGCGCGCTAATTGGTCCGAATCCGCGCTCTCTCTCTCACGCGCGGTTTTTTAAAACAGTGTGATAAGCGATCTACTAGTAGATAAAAATACAATGTCGTACATTTTACGTAACATTGGTACATTGTTGTAAATAAAAAATAGGTTGTACATTGTATATTACACAGTTCGTACATTCTCCTTCTAAGAGATATATAGTGCTTAAGTGCTTAAAAATTTATCAATCAATATATAATTTATTAAGAGAGTCTCTTCAATATATATATATTAGTATATTGTTGTTCATAAAAGTTATTAAATTATTCTTGCCATTTATTTACCTGACAATTTTATATTCAAATAATTTTAACTCATATATATAATATATATATATATAGAATTGGGGATGGAAGTAATAAGATCTTAAATAATTTAGAAAAAATTCCTATTCTTTGAAATAAATGTGTAGAAAATTATTTTATAAAGATAAATATAAAATTTATTTTTACCTATTTTTTAAATGCTCGATACTTGAAGTAATTTGAATAAACAAATCTAAAAATTCGATCAATTTCAATATATCATCTTCGTGCGTTCAAAATCTTACCTTCAGAGCGAAGTAGCGTTCAATCGACCAATCAGAACAAAAGGAACTAAAATTCCTTCATCCTGATTGGTCGAGCTATTTTAATCTACGATAGAATTTTTGAACGCACTTCCTAAAAACGTTGCAACATTCCGTTTCGTGGAAGCTTACAATTAGTGGCGAAAGATTCGAATGCCGCCAGTTATCAGCAGCCTCGACCACAAACAATTATACGTCACATCGCATACGCTCGCCGTATGATAATTTTATTGCTCGTAGATCAGCTGCTCGCCGTTTCGAGATTTTGTGCGCGTGGCATGTTTGCTGCATGGATTGGCTATAATCATTGATGCAGTTTCTTCGTAGTTAAATTAATTTTTTTTTATAAAAATTTCAGAGAAAGGTACGTAAAAAACACACAGTTCGATATTGTTAGGTTATCGGCAAGATCAGAGTCCGCCGTGTAACACGTAATAATATTACTTGTCAATTGTTATTCAAGCGTATGGAGAGATTTTATTTGACTTCTTATAAGTCAATGTGTTAAATATAATCAGCACGTGCATTAAGGTACGATTTTCGACGAGTTTCAGTGAAGATTTATTGTGTAAAATTTTGTTGAACAAAGCAAATTCTCTCCTTTAGAAACGTGTCTCTCTATTTGGAATCGTTTTGTCAATAAATAAGATTGTAATGATGCTCTCTGTAACAAATTTATATATATATATATTTTTTTTCCCTATTTTGCAGATGGGGGTGCTCATATTTTTTTACACACTCTTGTTGTGCTCCACTCAACTTGGGGCTGACAAGAAGATTAACAAATACGTAACAACTTTAATAAATGCTAAGTGGAATGAGACACCTCTCATTCTTGAAGCAGCTGAGTATCTCAGTGATGAAAATCCAAGTTACTTTTGGAAATTTATCGATGCGTATTCTAGAAAAATTAGTGATCTTGTAATAGGTAATTATGAAAATGTATTTAATTGATATGGTAAAGTACATAATCTCAAGATAATTATTTTCAATCTGTTATTTACTCCTACAGCTACAGAAAAGGAGAATTATGACATAATTTTGGAACTGGTTAAGAAATATTTATCTGAAGCAGAGATAGCAGTTTTTAAGTTAGGATTGTCTTTACGTATTTATTCTGCACGTGTTGAAATGTTTTCTCAAATGGCTGTGAATAAAAATGTTTCTTTGTATGGTTGTAACAATGTTGTTAATGTTGGTGGAACATTTACTTGTTCTCTACAAGACATAGATACATTATTAGAGCAGGTAATTTTATATTTAATCTCATTTCCACTGATATAATTTTTAGAACATGTATCATTATGTCATTATGTTTGTTTATTTTTTAGGATACATGGGAAACTGCAGATACTTATGATGTAGATCACCGATACTTGAGTGCTTCAGAATCTGATAAAGTAATCATACTGTATGGTCAGATTGGGACTCCTACGTTCATTGATTTTCATCAAAAGCTAAAAAACATAGCAGAAACAAAGGAGATTAATTATATTCTTCGTCATTATGTGAAGGTAATAATAGAAATAAAAATGTATTATAGATATTTAATATATTACAAAACAATTGCATTTTTTTATATTAAAAACATTTTACAGAATAGAGCAGATAAGAAATTGCGTTTATCAGGCTATGGTGTAGAATTGCAAATGAAATCTACAGAATACAAAGCAACAGATGATTCTGATATCAAGGATAACACAGGAAAGAGTTCAGAAGTGGCAAATGATGGCATGGAAGAAATTGAGGGAATCAACTTTATGATTTTAAAGTAAGGTGGTTAGTAAGGATATAAAGTATTCACTTTGTATCTCTCTGTATAACATTTTGCATTGCATTATTGTGATATGATGTATTATCTTTCCAGAAAACTATATCCAGATCAACAAGCCGAACTGGATAAAATACAAATGCATTTATTGGAAACTAGTCACGAGATTGGTGCTTTCAAAGTATGGCAATTTCAAGAATTGAGTCACCAAGCAGCCGAAAGGATAATGAAATCTCCTTCTGTGGATGCATTAAATGTCTTAACCGATATATCACAGAATTTTCCTATGCAGGTATCTATTTTAAATATTTGAGTTGTAAATACATGATTAAATACACAAATGATTTAATAGATATACAACAATTTATATTTTGTTATTACAGGCAAAATCTCTGATTAGAACTAAGGTGAATAGTGATATGAAGAAGGAAATGAAACTAAATCAGGAAATATTCATGGCAGGTCTAAATATACAACCAACTGACACGGCACTATTTATCAATGGTTTATTTTTCGATTTGGAAGCTATTGATGTACTAACTCTGCTAGAGTCGTTGAGAAGCGAGTTACGAGTAATGGAAGCTCTTCATAAAATTGGTATAAGAGTTATTCAGTTAAATATTTTATTACTATATCATCAAATCAAGGATGATATATTTTTACAAATTATTACAGGTTTTAGTAACAAAAAGATGAGCAAACTGTTAGCATTGGATTTATCTGGAAGCACAGATAATCAAAATTTTGCAATGGATATAAGAGATTCCGCAATTAATTGGATCAATGATATTGAAAATGATTCACGTTACAGTAAATGGTCACGGTCATTAACAGAGCTGTTACGACCAACTTTCCCTGGCATGCTCAGAAATATCAGAAGAAATTTGTATAATTTAGTTAGTATTGTTAAATTTTTGAAATTAATAATTAATATTTTGTTTCAGTTACTTAACTCTAATTTTTTTCTTTTTCTAGGTGTTAATTATCGATCCTCTAAGTGAAGATTCCATGTCACTAATAGCTCTAGCACAATCTCTTTATGCACATTCTGCTCCATTGAGAGTCGGATTGGTCTTTGTGACAAATTTTAATACATCTGTCACAGGTTTAATGGATGCTAGTGTTGCAATTAACAATGCATACCATTATTTTGCAGACACTAAAAGTTCTAAAGAGGCTTTACATTTCTTATCAGAGGTAAAACTTCATATTATTTGATATTTTGATGATCATCAAGAGATATCAAGAGGAAAAAATTAAATTAATTTTTATTCTAGTTGGGAAATTACATTGGGCCTTATGGTGCTGATATAGACGATATAAAAAAAGTTATCAGGTCTAAAGATTCGTCCGCTAGTATAATTTACATCCTCGGAGAAGAGTCTGAATACGACGTTGGCCGACATTTAGCTAGTGACTTTATAAAACGATGTAGTTTCAAGAAGTTTCCGCAAGCTCTATTGAATGGGATACCTTTGACGCCCAGTCAGATAAATTCTGAATCGTACGAAGAAGCAGTACTATCTACCATTATGTCGCAAACACCGGCATTACAAAAAGCGGTATATCGTGGTGAATTAACGGAAGGGGACGACGTCGTTGATTTTCTGATGAATCAACCAAATGTTATGCCACGGTAAATATAATTCTTTTAATTAATTCTATAAATTAACTACAATAAATTTATGTTCTATTTTATTGACTATTTCACTTTCTAGCTTGAACGAACGTATTTTAAAAGTGGACAAGAACGCATGGCTAAATTTAATCGGCACAATTCCTGACGATGACGATTATACCAAATGGAGTTCTCCAGATCTATCGACTTATTTAATGACAAAAATGCAGTACTTTTTTGTACCACGACGCAATAACGTGCGTCACTTATATTCCTTTTGGATCGTAGTCGATTTGAGATCATCGTCTGGTAGACAATTACTACGAGAGGCGCTTGAATATGTAGTATGTGATTTGAAAATCAAACTTTATATAATCTCGTTATATACTCTTTCACAGAATATATGTATATAATTTTTTTTATAGGAATCAAATACCGATGCGCGAATTAGTATTATTGTTAATGCCGAAGATAACTTAAAAAATTCAAAGTCTGATATTAATAAGATTGTTCTAGCTGCGTTAAATGCATTGTCACCGGAAAAAGCTATACTTTACATACGTAAAATAATCAGAGAAGAGAATGCAGCTCTCATTACCGATGGTAGTTTTGAGATTGAAGTAAGATATATATTTTTATAAATGATGTGTCCATATAATTGTTAGAAATCATTTCACGTTAATAATTCTTTGTTTCAGGATGAATCTGTTGCGGCGCTGTTAGAGAATCAAAATCCAATATTATTATTACATCAACATTATAGTAAAAATGTCTTAAACTTGGAAACGGGAGCGAAAGCAGTTTTGTGTAATGGTCGTATTATTGGTCCCTTGGATAGCGGCGAAGAATTTACAAGCGAAGATTTCTCTTTATTAGAAAGATTTAGTCAAAGCACTTATGGAGAAAAATTATTTATGAAATTGATGAAGGATCAATTTTATAATGAAGATGATTATGGTATGATAATGTGATATATATGATATGTATTACTTGTAATATTTTTTTCAATTACCATGATAAAAATAATAAAATGTTTATGATATTTTTTAGAAGAGGAAAATAATATCACAGATGATATGATTATGAAGATCAGTTCGCTTTTAGTACCACGTCCTCAAACTCGAAATCGATATGATGTTCCTTTCCATGGGGATGATAACAGGTAAAGTAATTTTTCTAAAATATGTATGAAAAACTTGAAATTAATAAAATATACAAAAATTGTGAATATTTATATTATATGTAAGAATGTTTTTTTTTAATCTTTCAGTGTCATAAAAATTCCAGCGGCTGATCCCGATAAAGTTGCTTTTAACTTTATCGCTATTGTAGACCCGGTTTCACGTGGGGCTCAAAAATTGGGCCCAATATTGAAAACAGTACAACAAGCCTTAAATTGTAATATAAAAGTATTCTTGAATTGCTTAGATAAAAATAGCGATATGCCATTGAAAAGGTAAAATAATAATACTTTATTTTCCCCATAATTCTTAAATTATATGTACATATGGATGGTAATTATATTTTTTTATAATATATTCTTTCGTTTTATTCCAGCTTTTATCGATTTGTGCTCGAACCTGAGTTACAATTCACACCCGAAGGAGATATCAGCGGCTCTATTGCAAAGTTTACAAAACTTCCAACTTCTTCATTACTAACGCAATACATTCACGCTCCGGAAAATTGGTTGGTGGAAGTAGTCCGTAGTGTTTATGATCTAGACAACATTAAGTTGGATAATGTCGCGATCGGCGTCCATAGGTAAAAGAATCGAAATATAATGTGAGATACTTTTTGTTCCAATTTTACTGACTTTTATATTGTATATTGTTTTAGTGAATTCGAATTGGAATATTTACTACTCGAAGGTCATTGTTTCGAAGCAATAGTGGGAAATCCACCGCGAGGCCTGCAATTTACGTTAGGCACCGAGAAACAACCCGTAATGGTTGACACTATAGTTATGGCGAATTTGGGATACTTCCAGCTCAAGGCGAATCCTGGTGAATGGGTGCTGCGACTTCGACAGGGAAGATCCGCGGAAATATACGACTTCAGCACGGTCGAGGGACAGGATGTTATTCAAAACGGCAACGACGTGAAAGTTCTGATAAGTTCTCTGAGAAGCCACGTGCTGAAGGTCAAGGTATCTAAGAAGCCAGACAAGGCGGGACTCGATCTCTTATCGGACAATGAGAAGGATTCCGGACTGTGGAACTCCATTTCTAGGTATGTCCGAACTCACTTGAACTACTTCTTGTATATTTCACATTCTCAAATGATTTCCTATTGCTGGGTGTTAGTACTTAATGCATAGCATGGTATTCTCGGTTACCTTTGTGAACTTAACTTTTATTTGTTCTCTCTTTTTTAGCATTGCCAAATTTTGGTAAGCTTCTCATTATGTAGTTAAGTACATCTATCATTTTCTATAAATAAATATAATTAAGTATCAAGTAACGAAAGATCTGGAATAAAATACAAATGCATAACAAAAACAAACATATCTGTGGCTTGAAATTATAATATTTAATTAATCAAAGATCTAAATATACTTTAAACTTTAGTGTATAATTGATTTACATCAGTTGCTTTAATTCCAAGTCACCAATATGTAATCTTCCGCCTGCTGTCCTAAAATTAACTTAACATAGTACTCTTTCCTTTGAGAATGTAGCTTATATTAATTTAAATACGTGACTGATATAAAATAAGTAAATCATTAACGTTTAATGTCTTATATGTATTTGTATTTTCAAAACTAGGACGTTTACCGCAACAGATGAAAGTGAAGACCAAGATGAGAAATTAAACATTTTCTCTCTTGCTTCTGGCCACTTATATGAAAGATTCCTGAAGATCATGATGCTCAGTGTTATTAAACATACCAAAACGCCGGTTAAATTCTGGTTCTTGAAGAATTATCTTTCACCGACGGTAAAAGTAAGTGGCTATAATATATAGCAGAATGAAACATGTATTTATATCTTGCTTTATAAATAATGCTGATTATGAAAATAACTTATCAAATTTTTTTCACGTCAGGATTTTCTACCACATATGGCTAAAGAATATGGTTTCGAATACGAACTTGTGCAATATAAATGGCCTCGTTGGCTTCATCAGCAAACTGAGAAACAGAGAACTATTTGGGGATATAAGATCTTGTTCCTCGACGTCTTGTTTCCGTTAAACGTTAAAAAAATAATATTCGTCGACGCTGATCAGGTATGCATAATATAAGCGCAATTCAAAATGTAACAATATATTATAGATATCTGTTGTGTAAAATTACGTAATTCACGTAATTGTTTTTACACAGGTGGTAAGAGCAGATTTGAAGGAGTTAGCAACTTTGGATCTCGGCGGTGCGCCATACGCTTATACACCGTTCTGTGATAGTAGAACTGAAATGGATGGATTCCGATTCTGGAAACAAGGATATTGGAGAAATCACTTGCAGGGTCGGGCTTATCACATCAGCGCATTATACGTGGTAGATCTCAAGCGATTCCGTCGTATCGCAGCCGGAGATAGGTTGCGAGGACAGTATCAGGCGTTGAGTCAAGATCCAAACAGTTTGTCAAATCTTGATCAAGTATGTGAAATGATTTATAAAGATATAAGGAGATAGTAGATTATATTTTTTTAATTAATTATCTCTTAATTATGCTTTTGTCGTATTTTTTTTTGCATTTGTAAAATAATCGATAATCAATTTCAGGATTTGCCAAACAATATGATTCATCAAGTGGCCATCAAGACATTACCACAGGAATGGTTGTGGTGTGAGACATGGTGTGATGATGCATCCAAGCGTTATGCTAAAACTATAGATTTAGTATGTATTTTTATTCACACACACACACACACACGCACGCGCGCGCGCACACACACACACACACACACACACACACACACACACACACACACACACATATATCACACACCACATACATGATGAATTATAATATTTTTACATTTAAAATAAAAATGTTTTTTTTTTCTTTTTTCAGTGTAATAATCCAATGACTAAAGAAGCTAAATTACAAGCAGCTATGCGTATTTTGCCCGAATGGGTAGGTTATGATGAAGAAATTAAAGCTCTACAGCAAAAATTAGAGAATGCAAACAGACAAACGGAGAAAGATAGTGGTATGTTTTTTCACAATATATTTATCTATGTATGTGTGTATACATGCGTATTTTTTCATGAGATTTTACATATGTTCTTTATTGCAGACATTATCGATGATCACTTAATTCTGAATCATGAAGAATTGTAAATTAAATTTTTATGTGGAATTTATGAACAAATTTTATAAAATTCTATAGGAAATTTTCGAAAGAAATTTCCGTTCGCGGTAGATTATTAAATATTGATAACAATTTCCATATTACACTTTTGTAATTGATATTTGGCACTTTATGTGTAAATACTTGCCATCAATACTCATATAAATTTTCAAAAATAATTGCAAAGTTTTTGTTATTTTTTTTGTTCTTATTAAATCCATATTTCATATACTGAAAAATTGTACTTTAAGAAGTCCTTATAATGAATGAGATTACGTCTCTTCAGAAGTTTATTCGCTTCAAAAGCGAAAAATCGGTAAAGGCCGATAATTGATAATTGTTGAGAATATGCAGTATTCCTTTGGTTATTTATGAACGCACACGTTCATGTTATTAAACCAATGTAATTTATAATTGTCTACTACGATAACTATAAGGAATAAACTTGTAACATTTGTAAAATATCTTTGATATTTTCCCTTTATGTGTATGAGGAAAGACATATAGGGAAAAGAAAAAATTGAACCCGTCAAGTTTTTAAAATCGATAGATACATTGTGTGCGAATAATATTCGATCATGGAAAATATTCGATTTTCATTATTAATGAGTTTTTACGAAACCGTACATTTTTCGACACGGATCATTTCATATGCTAATGACGATTGTGTCTCTCAAGAGGACTTATTTTGATCGCGGCGACGAAGCGAATCAGAGCGAAGCGAGCGAAGAAATTGGAAAAACATTCCCGTTGATAATCCCGATAATTCTCGATCTTGATCATGTCAATCTGGAGCCAATTGAACATATCGTGAACGATCCGATAGATGCTTGAAATTAATTTCTTATCATTTACGATCGAAGATCAAGCCTTGCTGATGACAGAAAAGAAATCAATTTTTTCGCGATAAGGGAGCTTCTATGTCTGTCATATTTCATCCGATTTTCTGGATTAACGAACGCGTGAAATTGAAACGACGCGGATCGATCATTCTTGCATCGTCTGCATCAAATCAGAGGAGCTCCTTTGTTAAATGAACAGAAGATAATCGAACGCACACCGATCCGGGTCATCATCGTGTCTTGCGCGCGCGTCGACCGTCTCTCTCTCTCTTGCCCGCGTTCATAATATTTATATGTAAACACGTCAGGAGAGAGAGCCAAGCCGCACGCACGTCTAATGACATCTCCCAACGCATCGTAACTCCCGCGCTGTCGCGAGTTTGTCGCTGATCGACTTGGCTCGTCTCGACTTGGCCTCTGTCAATTGTCCGCGCGCCCACATCGTTCGCGTTCCTTCTCGTCGACGAGTTGCCTCGTAACTTCGGGGCGATATGGAGAACAATTCTGTCATCAACGGAAACAGCTCTGTGAATTTGCAAACTGTCCAGCAGAACACCAAAGCTAATGAGTAAGTCACGCTTCGATAATAGTATTGTGTTGTTATTATCATTGTACAACAAAAGGATCCCGTTTTAATTTTTCTCATTTGACAGACTCCGAAAAACGCAATGAACAGACGATCGAGTTTATAGAGTACTTTTGAGTCTCGCGCGTAATATGCATATTTGTTATTTTTTTAAATAATATGTTGCGTGGTAAATTAATGTTTAACACATATTTGTTCGATTCAAATAAGTTAGATAAAATAATATTTCTAGATAACACTCTTAAGTAAAAAACATTCATCTTAAATAACATTCTTTAATAGCGCGTCAAAAAGAAAACTAAAGAAGAGAAAATAAATGTCATACATAAATGTCAATACATAAATGTTTTTAAATCGGTTCTTCTATGGTTTAAAAATAATTGGAAATTTAATTTTGTGAAAAAAGTCAGGAAATTTATAAAATAAATTTGTTTACTTTTATCAAGTATTTCTTGCGACATTTGTTATTGATAATACTCTAATAATTTATCTTTAATTGTAACTCTATTGTAAAATATTTATGAAATATCGACCAAACACTTCTAGGTAAAAATAAGAACGTGAAAAGTAGAAAATATTTTTTGTTGGTCAATTGTCAGGAATTTAATATTACAATCATTTCATGTATATATCTTTAATCAACATTATAATCATTACTATCATAATTTAACATTACAATCATAATACACAAACGTAGTAAAAAATATTTAAAAATCTTAAATTGTGCACACTAAATTATCCATATTACTCAGGGCCACACCGATCATAAATGATATTCTGTGATAATTTACAGCGTTTTTATTGCAAAATTATTTATATACTTAGTTTGTGAGAGACAAAGAGAAGGGAGAGGTCATTCATTAGTAAATTACTTCTTTGTGTGACTGACACGTGGACATTTTTCACATTTTTGCATAAATGTAAAAATGCAGCCCCAAGTATCCAATTGTGTTACACGAAACCCTACCCCTATCTCGCGATATACCGCCGAAAGAATTACAAAACATTGCCGCACTAGCAGGAACCGGTAGTTCTCATTTCAACATCGGATCGGAATGTCGGCCACCACGAAAATGGAGTTAGGCTGCATTATCGATGAGTAAATAATATCAATATATTACTTTTATATATATTTTTTTTCTTTCTTAAAAATTCTTTAGAATTAAATAGAGATTGTTAATTTCACATTCACTTCCTCATATTATTTGTGAAATTTAAATTTTATTTCGACATGTAATTCAAACTTGTTTATATTAATACACCCAACAATGATATCAATTGCATAATCACATGTCACAATTTTAAAATGTATAATTTGTTTATTTAGAAATTTTTCAATAATTTATAGATCATATGTGTGAGCAAAAGTTCCGCATTACATTGTATTGATTGTTGTGCCTCTATTGTATTTAAGCTATCGATATCAAGACCTAGTTTATTAGAGATAATTTATAAATATCTTTAGTGTTTATTTCACGAAACCTAATTATTTCACTGGTGTTCCGATCCATTTTATAACGTACGATTACTTAGCAATTGTAACGTGAAACCATCAGCATACGAATAGTATGCATAATGAATTGCATAATTTTTATAATATTTCATATTCATATTACTTATCATACTTGGAATTATGATTGTTTAATTTTTAAAGCATGAAAATGTATTATGCACATATACAGAATGTTCCGAAATTCACGAAATAAAATACCATAGCAAAAAAATTCTCGCAAAAAATTAAACAAAATTTTTGCCATTTTATCAAATAGTAGTTTGTGGCGTAAACATGTTAAAAATTGGCCAATTATAGATTAAACAGATTAAGCAGATAAACATAAGGTAATATTATCGACGCGCGACTTACGGACAAACATTGATCATAATCTGTAATTGGTCAATTTTAAAAATTGTTACACGCTACATATTACAAAGATCGTTTGAAATGAAAAATGGCAAATAGTTTTTCGAGAATTCTTGCTATGGTAATTTAATTCGCGAATTTCGGAATACTCTAGAATACAATTTTCATACAAAATAACTAAAATATTAAAAGGATATGTTTAGTTCTATTATATTTGTTTTAATTTAACGTCTTGCTATATTTCTCTTAGTTTGTTTTATTCTAATTATTAGTAAAAAGAGAGAACATATACAAAGAATTGTATTAAAATTTTATTTTAAACTTTTTTTATATATAAATATACAGATGATACACTGATAATTTAATATTAAAAAAAAGAAAGAATTATAATTGCATGTAGTACGTAATAACATGATACATTTATATAAAGCGCATATATATTTTTAAGTATTATATTTAAATTTTATGTATTTTCCTGCTCGTTAATTTATGCAAATTTGTTTTTCTCTCCATATAATTGTTTTTTTGAAAACTTGAAAATTTATCTTTGAGATCTTTATTGATAAAATTCTTGCCAAAATTTCCATCTCAATTTCTGCATTATCTTTATCTGAAACTTTATAAAACTTTATTATCAGTTTATTATTATTGAAAAAAATTGCTGACATTGCTTAGGTGTTTGTTTTGAAAATTTTTAAATCAGCTATCTATATAGAGATTGATCACGCTGATCGATTCAGAACATTCGCTGTCAAATTTAACGCGGTTGCATCCTATCAGGAGAAATTTAACGCGGTTGCATCCCATCAGGAGAAAAAGAATGACTTGATACGACTTTTATAAGATTAATTTATCGTCATTGATAAAAATTGTTGGCGATGCTTGGACGTTTATTTTGAGAATTTTTAAATCAGCTGTCTAATGCTCGATTGATTCGGAGCATTCGCTGTCAAAATTTAATGCAGTTGCATCCCATTAAAAAAAGAGTAACTTGATAAGACTTTATAAGATTAGTTTATCGTCATTGATAAAAATTGTTGGCGATGCTTGGACGTTCTTGTCTGGTTTCATTCGAAAAATTGTAAAATCAGCTGTCTGCGGAAATCGAGTCGGAGCATCCGCGGTCAAAATTTAACGCGGTTGCATCCTATTCAGGAGAAACTCCACTTCGAGATCCACTTCCTCGAGCAAACAGCACGCGTATTTACGATCTCTGAATCGTGTTGTTCGTGTAGCACGTGCGCTGGCAGTGCCTCTTTTTTTGAACGTAGAAAGTTACGTGGTGAATGTTTCACGCTCGTTTCACGTTCGCCATTCGTTCAGTCTCGATCTGCGATCCGTGGCGCGATCGCCGATTAGTCTCGTTTACTCGGGGTTTGAGAAATAGGATTAGTTCCCTTTTGTCTTACGATTAGCGCATATATCATCGGTCAGCTCTTCCAGAGAGAAATGTAGCGCTGATCTTCAAGAGAAGCTTGTTCTTTTTCAAGAATCGTGAAGAAACGTGAACGCGTAACTGACCGATCGTTGATATTGGAGCAACTTCTTGAAGAACCCGGGCTACCAGATCTCTCGAATTCGAGATTCTCGAGCGAGAGCGATGAGACGAGTATCAGAAATAGTTAATTATTATTAAAAACGAGAGAGATGAACGATAATCACACGAATAATCTATAACAAACTGCATCCAATTCGTCTCTAAATGATGTTCAGATAAAATTCCAAGACATTTCGAAATGTATCAATGGATAAGTGTGTCTTACCTCTTCAAGCTTCGCGATTATTTTTAAAAACTTCAAATTGATTGAGTAAATAGAAAGAATGAGCAACTAATTTTTTTAACCATGTGTATGCGATATGTTCGAGTTCAAGTATTTTTTCCAAACGAGATTTAGGCAGTTATAGCGTTATAAGCCATCTAAGCATTCGCCATAACTGGAATTTCAAGTGTGGGACAAAGTCTCGGCGAGACATATCTTCGTCGGACGGAGACAGAAAAAGGCAGACAGAGACAGAAAAAGAGCAAAGATAGAAAGGAAGCGAGAGAGGGACGCATCATTGAGTGGGAGGAAGCGATAAGGACAGACCAACTGAGAGGAAAGGCAGAGGGATCGAGAAGGAAAAAGAACAAGAAAGAGAGAGAGATGGAGTGAGAGGCCTTTCGATGCTAATCGTTTTATCTGTCGAACGAACAGACCCGAGCCGGACGTGGGTCCTCTTCTAACGAAAGACCCGGACATGCCGTGGCCAGATTCTCGTTGTTCGCGTTTGACGAGTGACACGTGTTCACTACTCGCGACTTTACGATCTGGGGAATTACAACACAACGACGTTACACGACTTTGCTGATTACGCGACTTATAGCGTCGTTTCGTTCCTCGTCGCCTACGCTTCTTCTCATTATTCTCTTTTTTTTTCTGGTGCCTGGTATTCACGAGCGATTCGACAAATCGATCGTTCGAGGAAGAAATTGTGACAAGACGTCGCGCGATTGTTCGATCGCGAGCTGGCAGGACACGCAGTCTCTTCATCTCCTTCGATCATGGACGACGAGAAGATCAAACTGTGAGTTCCTCCTTGTGTGTATTCTCCATTCTCCTTGTTATTTCGCTGCCACGCGTGACAGGTGAGAGACGCCGTCTGCAAACCGAAACGATCGCTAAAAAAGCGAAAAAATTGGGAGATTTTTTCGAGAGACTTTATTATTAATTTTGAAATGTGATTTATTTTTATATTTTACTTCGCTCCATTTGGATTGTATTTGCTGTGGTTTTCTCGCGTGTTCAATTGTTCTTCAGGTAGTTCATGAATCAATTTTTGGAATTTTTATCGAAGAAAATTGAAAAAAATTTGCTAAAATTTTGTGAGTGATGTGAAATCGATTGTAAAGTTTTTTTTAGAAAATTAATCGTACAATCAAATTCTTCAGATACGTCCCACGTATTCCCATTTCGATTCTTTTAATCTTAAGTTTCGCAAAGTGATGCTGAAATAAGTTTTAAAGGTGGTATTTTATTCTCTCAAGGATACTCTCTCCTACAAATTATATATAGCAGATAGAAAATATATTAAACATAATCAGTAGCTAGTTGGAATCTATTGGAAAATAACGCGAGGGGAA